CAGAATACAATTAGTAAAAACAGGAGACTTAATTTTCCAGTCACTGTTTATCTTTGGGTGCTGGTTACCTCAGAACTGAAGGCTTCAGAGAGAGGTGCTGGTTTGACCCAAGGGTATCTTTCTTATTCCAACAATGAATACATGATAAAGACAGGTATAGATGGAATGGATTGATAGATAGATTGCTAAATAGATAGATAGTTAGATGAATGGATAAAAGTAGATAGATGGCATTTGTCACTGTTTTCTTGGATATAGTTTGTGAGAAATTATAATTTATTTTGACTGCTATCAGAATTATTGAAAAATACATTTAGAGTTTTACTTTTTTCTTTGAAACGTAAGCATATATTTGTTTTATATTTCCTATTACTATTGTATATTATTTATACTGTATAGAATGCTTGGTATTATTGGTTTGCTGCTCTTTATGAAGTTAAATGCAATGCAATAGACTGCTTTTTATGAAGTTATTTTATCTGAAGGAGCAGGAATAAAAGGGAATGATTCTAAAACATGCTAAAAGTAATGAGATTCATACAGCAATGATAAACCAGAAATTAAATCAATTCTGCTTCAGAAGCCCAAACATTTCTCTAATTCCCACTAATTTCAGCAAAGGTGGTGATTTACATGAACTAGAAAATAACAGGAGCACAGGATTAGTATTGTTTTACAGTCTTATTATTTTTCTAAAAAGCTGTAAAATTGAATTCAACAAACTGATTTCAGACTTTGTTGTATTAGAGCAGGGGTCGCCAACATTTTGGCCTTCCGGGGCCACCAAACTCATAATTTTAAATACCAGGGACCACTAACTGGTTCTGTGGGCGTGGCCTAATTTGTGGGTGTGGCTTGGTGGTCAGGTGACTGACTGGGCATGGCTTGTATGTAGATATTATAAATATTTATATAAATATTGAATTCTTTAAAAAAAAAAGCAACTTTTATCCAAAATCAGGCAAAGCAGGTAGGCAGATTTAGTTGCTCATAGAATCATTCAGTGATCTATCTATCTGCCATCAGCTAGCTCAGTCTGTCACATAAAATTTGCTAGCAAGCAAACTCACAAAATTAACTCACAACACACCATGTATGTAAATACTGAATATTTTATAAAAAAAGAGCAACTTTTACCCCAAATCAGGCAAAGCAGGCAGGCAGATTGAGTTGCTCACATAATCATTCAGTGATCTGCCATCGGCTAGCTCAGTCTATCACTTAATATTTGCTTGCCGTGAGTCTATACTGAATAATAGAACCTTCAGTCCTAAGGGAGGTTCGGCTGTGCTTAAAAGCAGAGCCGAAGATCTAAAGACTAGCTAGAAAGCAAGAAACCCAACCATTTCCTGCTTTCCTGCTTTCTAGCTAATCTAAATCTAATTCCTAGCTAATCTAAATCTCACGACACAGCTGATGGTTGGAAAAAGGAAAAATAGCAATTTAGCAGACAAGTTTGCCAGGTAAGGAGTGGGCGGGGAGGGTTCCCACAGGCCATGTGGGCGGCGCAGCCTTGTGTTTCGGCGCAGCCTGGATTAATTGCTTTGGGGGGGGTGCTCTGGGAGTGAGATTTCTCTGAAGCTGGCCAAAGCCCACCAGTTGGCAACCGCTGAATTAGAGGACTGATAAAGACTGGAGTATCTTTCCTCTCTAGAATCTAAAGAAAATGATTAGGCTGTTAGAGAACTCAAATCCAATGTAGCTGCTCAGCTAACTAGACAAGTCCATTTTGGCAACTGGGTAGTTCTTCCCTTTGGAGCTTCAAAATAAGGAATTTGGATTGCTTAACAGTTTCAAGAGGAGATAACAAATGCCTTTTGTAATACTGAAAAAATCTGCTGAATAAACTAAACTTCACTCCTATTTACAGGAAGAATATTTTGAGAAGCAGTGTGTGCATTCCACATCTTTACTTCTTTATGGCTCATTTATTGCATAAATGTACTCTAAATTGAATATTGCTCCTTCTCTCAAAGCATTTCAATCCCTGTTTAAAAGCTATTTCTTTATCACAGTGTTAATCCTTATATGTTCATTAAAAAAACTCTTTAGTACTAATTTAAGTACTGTTATAAATAGATTTTAATTTAACTGAAATGAGGTTCATTGAACCATTGTGACCCCTGCTTTGTGTTGTATGGTGATTTGCTGTATGAGGTAATTGTACATTGGGTGACTTTCGGGCAGTCATTCTCATTCATAGAACAGTTGGTATGGAACAAAATAGAAGAAACAATGTTATGACTATTATTTGAAGTCTTCTTTAAATTATATTTATCTCTCTGTATATTTGATATATATCTCATATATAAATAAATGATATAGTTGGTACCTTATCATAGGGAAAGTGTTGCCAGCAGTCTTGAATGAAGTTGAAAAGTACCCTATTCTTAAGAAGCTTTCCTATCATCCACAAGTGCTAGATAAACTCCTGGTCTCAAACTTTTCCTTTACACACACACACACACACACACACACACACACACACACACCTGCTTGTCTTGAGAGATCAATCACTGTTTTGGAGGTTGATATCATTAGTATATTGAAGATACCCAATATAAATGTCCACACTGGATTTCAATGAAGATTCTGATGAAGTTTTGATGTCAGGAAGTTTTGAGGGTTTTGATGAGACAAAAATAACTAAAATGACAAAAATAACTGCAAGACAAAGCTATTATTTCCATATTGGGACTTTCAGTGTGATCCAGTGTTTTTTTTTTTTTTTGATGGGAGATCCTACTACAGAATCAGATCTGTGACTTGAGGACATTTTGTATAAATGGTTTCTGTTTGAAAAGTAGGTAGAGGCCATGATACGGGGTCCTTCTTCTGCTTCAGCTGGTGTGCCAATTGGAACCTGTACCTAGAGAAAAAAGACCTTGCTGCTGTGGCTCATGCTTTTACTACAACCTGTCTGGAACATTCTAATATACTTAGGGCTATCCTTAAAAACTGTTTGGAAAGTGCAAATGATCCAGAATGCAGCGACTCACTAATAACTTTCTGGGTGCTGTCAGCTGGTGCTCCATTCAAAATCCAAGAAAGAAATACTTAGACTCCTTTAATCAGAGAAAAGATATCTTTTACTGGAAATCAAGTGGTAGCAACAAAAGAATTCTGAATCTGAAAAAATGGGCGCGTAAATCACATATACAAAGTAATGGCAACATTCCCACCCCCAATAGTTCAATTGGTTCATCCAATTAAAAGTTGTGTATATCATCATGTGGGCATCTCCAGGTGGTGAGGCTTCTGTCCGTTGACCTTGACATAGTTTGATAAAGAGTTGCAGCTGCACATAGCATAAATAGAAACCTAAGCAAGAATGTACCCCCCCCCCCCAGTTTATACAGTTCTGGTTTGTAACACCTCCAGCTCACTTCCCATAACCATTCTACCCCTCCTCCCCCCGTTACTTATGACAGCCGAAAGATGCAAAGCAAAGGGAGAAAATCTTGAAGGCTGAGAGGTGCAGTTTAAAGTGCTGTTTTTCACTTATAAAGCCCTCTGTGGCTTTGATTCAGGTTAAGTTCAAGACAACATTCCCCAGGTAAAATTCTAAGTAGTCTTTTTGGGAGAAACTGCTTGTAGTTCCCAATTTTTTTAGGGGTGAAGGGAACTGAAACCAAAATGAACTACTTCTTTTTCTGTTATATTAAATAATTACATAAATGCATCCCTCATTTATAGCTATCAGATGGTTTCTTTATGCCCATCTTCTGCAGGATCAGTTTCTAGGAGTGTTGGGAGCAGAGTTCTTTGAAATAGAAACAAGTGACTGATGTAAAAGAATATATGTAGCTTAGGGTTGACCAATCAAGAAGGAAACGCGTCCCAATCAAGAAACCACAAACTCAGAGAAACTTAGCTAACAGTAAACAACAGCCTAATCAAGAAATCACCAAGACTACCCTACCAACACTGACAAGACAATCACTAATACAAATAAAGGGAGTAAACCTCATTTTAATCTAGCACTAATGATGTTAATTAGTTTGGTAGTGAAACATCTATAAGTAAAAAACCAAGCTCAGAGAGCACCGAGGACTCCAAAGACAAGTCAGCTTGCACAATTTTAGGTTTTATGCCAAGTTCCAATGAGGTGGATGTACTCACATATTGCTTAAGGGTTGCATATATTTTATGTTTAATAATAAAATTTTTAATATGGACTTTTTATATATTTAAATGCTTGTTTTATATATGTATTGTTTCTTATTTGATTATTTTATACCATCCAGAGTCATTTCTTATGAGATGAGAAATAAATAAATAAATAAGATTAATCTTGTTATAATCAACATAATCTGAAAATACCACTTCAAACTCCTAAAGCTTTCAGCCTATTTGATTTCCTAGTTGCTAGTGCTGAAACCTACTTCTGTGTCTTAATCATGTTAATTGCCTGAATACACACACACACACACACACACACACACACACGGGTGGGATTCTACCAGTTCGCACCTATTCTCTAGAACCGGTTGTTAATATTCTAGGCAGTTCGGAGAACTGGTTGTTAGAAGAAATTACTGGCCTAATCCTGTAAGGAAGGCAGGAAGGAAACATTCTGGTGTTGCTTACAGAAACTGCCTCTCCGTTAACCCTTATTACATTCTTGGCAGGACTAGACTTCCTGTCTCAGGAACTTCTCTGGAGTTTTTTTCCCCTCCTTTGCTGGTACTTTGCTTGTGTGGAGTGACCATTCAAAGTTACAATGGCACTGAAAAAAGTGACTTATGGCCATTTTTCACACTTACGGCTGTTGCAGCATCCCCACAGTCACAAGAAGCCTGCCTCAATGTGATGATATTGAGTTGGTCACACCCAGCCAATAACATGACCACCAAACCACATTCACCTAGTCACATGACCACCAAGCCACACCCACCAACTAAGCCATGCCCACAGAACCGGTTGTTAAAAAATTTGAATCCCACCCCATATATATTTCTTTATATCTAAAATATTATTTTTCCCCTTTTGTTTTTTAGGTATGGAAAAGTTGTATCTACAAAAGCAATCCTAGACAAAAACACAAATCAATGCAAAGGTAAGTGAAAAAGTCCTTCCCGAAAATTCTACATCAGTTTGATTGACTGGTTTGTGAGCCAAAGTTCAGGCTGTGACAGTGCAATCAACATAATATACAGTATTTTGAAAGCATGTTAATAATGCCAGTTCTTGGAGCTGTACTTCCAGTAACATTGCTCATTAATTTTTTTCATTAACAAACAAAATGAATATCACAAATTAGAACAAATTGCTTCGGCAGCCAAGTAAATTACCTTCTAACTACACAGTATCATCTGATTTGAACGATATGACTGATAATATAAATTGATTTCCTACATATAAATATAAAACTCTTGTGAGAAATGCCTTATTCTATGTTTTATATGTAGATGTCTTTTGCTCCAGTCTTTAGAGAGGAAAACTTTATGCACAGTCCTGGAAACAAGAGACTATACCAACTGAAGGGACAGTGATAAAGTTCCTAGACTGCGCAGAGATGGACAGGCTGACCCTTGAGTAAAAAGATAAAAATGAATCTGAGTACTATCAAGTCTGGGATGCTTGGTATCTTTGGCTAGACAATAGATATAAAAGTAATATAGCAATTGATAGATGAACATGAATGATGACGATGCTATAATGTTATTGGAAATGTAAATATGCTTTTAAACTGTTGGAAAATGTCTAATAAAAATTATTTAACCAAAATAAAATTTTCCTCTCTAAAGACTGGAGCACAATCAAGCCCCACCTGAACAGAACACACCCCCAGCCAATCAGAACACAGCCAACCCCCCCAACCAATGAGAACACATCCCCAGCCAATCAGAACACAGCCAAGCCCCCACCCAATCAAGTCACACCCCCACTAGCAATTAAAAGGAAGAAGCAGCTGCAAGCTCACATTACTCTGAGAAGCACAAAGCCAAAGACACAAGCCTGAAGATGATGAATGAGACTTCATCGAAACGTCGCCTAGACACTTCCAATTTCACGCGGGAGAAAACCCGAATAACCAAAGATCCATATATATGTATATGTATATATATATATATATGTGTGTGTGTGTGTGTGTGTGTGTGTGTGTGTGTATGGTATTCAGCTTTGTTCAGGTATTTTCCCACGTCATTATAGTTGTGCTTTTAAAGTTGTAGCAACGTTTCGGCAGAATCTCATCTGCCATCATAAGGCTTCTGTATTGTGTTCATCTGTGAGTCAGACTTTCACAGCCATTCACAGAGTTCACAGAGTTCGTCTGACTCACAGACGAACACAATACAGAAGCCTGATGATGGCAGATGAGATTCTGCCAAAACATTGCTACAACTTTAAAAGCACAACTATAATGACGTGGGAAAATACCCGAACAAAGCTGAATACCATACATGTAAGTACCCGCGAAAACTTAAGAAACACACACACACACACACACACACACACACACATATATTCATAGATTTTCACGGGTACAGGTATGTAGGTCTAGGTTTGTTTGGGTCTTTTCCCATGTAAGATTAAAAGTATCTTGGCAACGTTTCGGCAAGGTCCCACTCACCATCCTCAGGCTGGTGCTTTCGGCTTCGTGCTAGTGCAAGCAGTGTGTGATCAGAGCTGCCGTCTCTCTATAAATACTGGTGGGGGGGCTGGTGTGCTGGTCTGGTTGGCTGTGCTGCTGCCTCTTGATTGGTTGATGGAGTTGATGTTGGTGTAATGGGCTGTGTGATGGCCTTGTGAGTTTTGTTGTGGAGATATCCTGGATCTTGTGCTTTAATCTCCTGGGTTGTTTGTGTTTTGATCTCTTTTCCATTAGCCTCCTGTGTTGTAACGGCTTGGGTAATGGGTTGTGTGGTGACCTTGTGAGTTTTATTGCTGTGGTATCCTTGGTCTTGTGCTGTGATTTCCTGGGTCGCCCTCAATATAAATCATAAGGATACAAACAACAAAGTTACAGTCATAAGTCACAAGTGGGAGGGGATGGGTAATAAGGAGTGATGAGAAGATTAATAGTAATAGTAGTGCAGACTTTGTAAATAGTAGGTCAGTGTTGAGGGAATTATTTGTTTAGCAGAGTGATGGCGTTCGGGAAAAAACTGTTCTTGTGTCTAGTTGTTCTGGTGTGCAGTGCTCTATAGCGTCGTTTTGAGGGAAGGGGTTGAAACAGTTTATGTCTGGGATGTGAGGGGTCTATAAATATTTTCACACCCCACTTTTTGACTCGTGCAGTCCCTGATGGAAGGCAGGTTGGTAGTAATTGTTTTTTCTGTGGTCCTAATTACTCTCTGTGTCTAGACTGGATATATCCAGTCATCATGTGATTTTGATTAATCAACTATTGCTTTGGGTTAGGAACATTCTTGTGCAACTGTATTTATTTGGGGTTTATACACTACATGTAGTCCTGTTTCCAAAGTTACTTTAATATTTCTAGTCAACTTGCAAGATAATGATAAACTGTGAACAGCAAAAGAAAGAAAAAAAAAGAAAGAAAGAAAGAAAGAAAGAAAGAAAGAAAGAAAGAAAGAAAGAAAGAAAGAAAGAAAGAAAGAGAAAGAAAGTGCTTGTGAAAATACTACTAGTAATAAATCAAAGAAATTGGAGAATTCCTAATGGGTAGAAAAAAACATTCCAGTAACAACTGAAACAAGCTAAATTGCAATGAAATTTCATTTTAATGTATACCAATTAGAGTACATTAAAGTGATAATAAAGCAAGTCTAAGTTTAAGCTATTAACATCCAGCTTTTATGTGCTGTGTATCTTTGCTGATGCCTTTAAAATTTAAGTGAGCTTTCTACCTTTTCTGTTTTGTCTCTATATTCAGTTTCTTTCATCCAGTCATATAAACCTATGAATAGTTTTGAATTTAATATTTATTTACATATGAATTTATAAAGTGCTTCACTCAAAGTTACTCAGGCATATATTCAGGAGCAATAGTCACACTGAATACACGTAACTCTGTTTTTCAGTAAATGTACATACAAATTCCTGTAAATCCCAAATGTGGAGTAATTTTTGAAAAATATCCATAACGTCTCAGATGACTAAACAAGGCTTTTTTTCAAACAGAAGTGCTGGATTCTTTGGAAACTGATAGAATGGATATGCTACAAGGAAGAAAAAATTTGGGGATGTAGAGCCAGGTTGCAGTGTCCCAAGGGCATATGAATTTTTCCAGTGTTGTTCATGGTGCTTCTGACAAGTTGGACTGATTTCAACCTTTTAGATACAGTAGCTACTGCTACTGTATCTAAAAGGTTGAAATCAGACCAACTTGTCAGAAGTAGTAATAATCAAGTAAAGTAGTAGTGATTACATTAAAGTAGTAATCAAGTAGTTGAACTATTGCCCATTTCTGCTTGTCCTCTGTACTACCTGATAGGCCTCTCTTTCCTTGACTCTAGTTCTGGTCATGACCCCAAAAACTGTTTGGGATAGGATTTTTTTTTTTTTTTTTTTGATATTCATAGCCAACTGTAGTGCATGATTAGCCTTACTCTTCCTGATCACATTGTTCCAGTTTTGGGATATTAACTGACATTCTGTCTTCATTATATAGCAATAGCACTTAGACTTATATACCACTTCATAGTGCTTTACAGTCCTCTCTAAGCAGTTTATAGAATCAGCATATTGCCCCCAACGATTTTGGATCCTCATTTTACCCATCTCGGAAGGATGGAAGGATGAGCCTGGTGGGATTTGAACTGTCAAATTGCAGGCAGCCAACAGAAGTAGCCTGCAGTACTGCATTCTAACCACCGCATCACCGAGGCTCAGTTCTTCTTTCTATATGTTCTTCTTTCCATTTTTAAAACTTGTCTTTTTTTGTTTGTCAGTTTATAACAGATATTTTGCAACCAAGCCACTCACGTCAGGTATCTCCCATTTTTCCTCTTGGTATTGTTTGTATTTATACTTTCATTATCTCTTTCTCCCTCCCTCCATGGAATCTTTCCACCTTTTACCTTAACTCATTAAAGTCTACTCTCTTGAAGCCTGAAACAATTTAGGTATTTTTAGCTTCCAACCTGGGTTGGATAATCATTAATCTGTATCCCTGATATTCTCATTCATGTAATCCCTCAAAGCATGTTGTAGGAAAGAAATGTTGAACAAAAGCACTAAACAGTTAGTTTTCTGTTACTGGCAGCAAAGATTTCTTACTTTTTCCAACAAATGTAAATTCAAAGGTAAATTTCCATGCAGAGGTAGCAAGGAAGACTCCCTATAAGCTGGATAATGAATAAATTGTGCATCCTCATTTTGTGTTAAGATTTTGTTTGGACTCAGGGTACAAATGGAAGTGAAAATTAAATGTATGTTTGCATATCATTATGTAGCAATATATACAGATATGTTCCTTCATAGTTTGCCCACCACATTCCCTTTGACCTTAGAATATAAACACAAAGTTGTTAGAATTTTATTACAATTGGTCCAATGTAATGGTGATAAGCTAATTTTATTTGTGCAGTGGTTGGAACCCTGACAATAGGCAAAATATTTAGGAAGTGATTTTGAAGATAGAAGGGGGTAAAATGCACTTAAAAATTTCCAGGCACCCCATCTGTGTTTAAAGGCACAATAATAACAAAACTTTAAATTAGCAAAAGAGATTTAAGGCATTTCAGGAAAACATTGATTAAATCTGCCAGTGAAATAAATGTGCTTGGTGAGTGATCTAATTAGTGTATACTTGGTTCTTTTTCACTGCACTGCTTATCACTAATTGCTGTTCTGCTGGTCTTCTCCTGACAAGCAGGAAAAAATAAGAATGAGGGATTTGCTACAAAAACAGTGACATTCCATTTTAACTCAGTTGAACCGACTGTCAAGTTAACTGAGAAATTGAGCCTAGGAGTTCCATTGCCATTTAGATTGTAGAAAACACAGTTACTTCATGTCTGACTATGTACACAGATACTTATACTATCAATTTTACTGATTCTTTTAGTATATCTAATCCCTCTTTCTTTATAGATCCACACACATACACAACTTTAGAAACCATAGTTATTACTTCATCTTCAGGAT